TGTGTGTGTGTGTGTGTGTGTGTGTGTGTGTGTGTGTGTGTGTGTGTGTGTGTGTGTGTGTGTGTCTCAGTTCGGTGGGGCGAGGTGGTGTGATTGAGAGTTGCTCGGGGGTAGTCAAGGGAAGTCGCATTTAATTATAAGAGTGTGATTGCCATTCCACACGTCTTGTAATGAATGAGTTGAGTATTCGACATCCGATCTGCCTGGAATTTGCTGTCCGATACGGAAAATTCGATCATGGATCTGAAGTAGTGTTTTGATGTCAACCGCAATGCTGGTTGTGTCGTGTCTTGGACCATTCCCTGGAAGACCACACACAAAACAAAATGAAGTGGCACATGTCAGGGTCCCTTCGTGGACACGGGCCACCCAGCTGGTAGCCTAGGTACAAACCAGAAAAAAATCCCCGACGCCTGCCGGGCCTGAAACACAGCTCCTGCCAGGTCACACCAACTTTCATTGAAATTTATTTGTTCCGGTGCAAATATTTTTTCATGGGCCAAACCATTTTGGCTTATGTTTTATTTGTTTTTCCAAATTGCATCATCACATTGAAAACCAGATGGTTGTATGGCGCACAGAAAGCAGAATGCACCAAGTCAACACTAAATAAGAGCAAAGCAATGAGAACTCAATTTGTCAATATCAGCCCCTTGTCTCGCGGCCATCAACAAAGTATCCAATGCCGCTCTTCCAACTGGTCTGTGGCGCCCAACCACAGACTCACGACACCAATCCCAGACTACACTATGACGATGCAACCAGAAGAACTTGCAGCAAAACTGATGCGCATGAAGATGTCGCCCATGCACACCTCCACGACACACCAGGTACGTCCTCCTTTCTACGCGGCCCACTCCCTGTCTACCCCCTCGCAGGCTTACCACCATGCCCAAGGACCACCTGAAAATTCAGGGCCCCCTCACGCATGCTCATGCCGTTGCAGATCGCGGCCAGGCCGTCCAGGCTGGAGGAAAAATGGCTCCCGTGACAGTTTTTCAGGCCCGCATTTCAGCAGGGATCGGCTGAACTGGTGGTTTTTCAAATTTTAAAATCCCAAACATGCCAGCGAAGCTGGAGTTGCCAAGGTGGGTTTCCCACCACCTTGGGAGCCCCTCGATTGTTGTCCTGGTGACTCGGTGAAACTCCGACGAAACAGTTCGTCACAGCCCCTCGTTTGCTGTCCTCTTCTCCCTCTCTGCCTACGGTTTACCGGCCAGTTCTGTTTGATGATATGCAATCAGACTCACTTTCTTCTTCGCTTCACGTACATTCAAACAGATGGCGATACACACTGGCCCACAGCGCCCACTCAAAACTCGGAGATATGGAACTCGAGAACACAGTTCCGGTGCAAACTTCCTTCAACAGGCTATAGCATATCAGCGCCTGAACATCCCAACTCTCAATACTGTTTCCAACACCACTGTTTGCACTCACTCAACTCTGCATCACCCTGAATACCCCCCACACACATTCACACACTAACACCTCTCTGCTACCTACAGCGGCTATGGCCACTCAACCACTAACTATGGCTATGCTAACTTCTTCCAGCCCACTTCGACTTCGGGCGCTCTGCAGACCACCTCGCACAAGACGCTTGAGACAGCGCTTCCGCATGGCTTACGCAGCGAATGAATGAATTGCTGGACGCTGCCCCTTGATTTAAACTTCTGTTGGTCGCTGGTCTGCCCCTTCCCTCCAGGCCCTCCGTGCACACAGTCCCACACGGTACTTGCTTGACTGGACTGCAACTGACTGGACCGGTACCGCTGACTGCACGGGGTTGCACTGCCGACTCAATGCAGTCGCACTGTCTACTCGACGCAGCTGGACCTACGACTTACCTACAGACCTCTAGCCTAGCAGTTTCGACCTCTACACAGCTGTAACCCCTACTTGACAGGTCTGCAGATCGAATCCCTACAACTACAGGGACCTACGACAAAGCACAGTCACTACTAAAACACAGGTCGTGGGTTCAAAACACACAGGGGTCTACTTGATACTGTACACGGGCACAGGTAAGGTCTAGGGATCGAACCCTGGGATCTGCATCTGCTTGTGCAAAGGTGAAAACCGTTTCACTCCCACCGGCCTAAATTCGAGGTCCTCCAAGAAAGCTTCAGTCCAGGGCAGGAGATTTACCTTTCTTATCTCTCTCATAGGCTCGGACTACATGGGGAGCTGTCTCTAGAAGTTCTGTTCTGGTGAACCAGCGGTCATCTTCAGGTTCTTGATAAGAGAATCTGACTTTGTACTGTTTCTGTGGACGACCTCTACCTCCTGTTCTGAAGACATCCTCACCTACTGTGCCATCAATGTCGTACCTTCCATCCATATCGGGAGGAATCATAGACCTTCGTGATGGAAACTGTTGACTCGTAGTACAGGGTAACAACTTTGACACATGGAAAACTGGGTAGGTGTGGAGGTGTGCTGGAATTTCTATCGTGTAGGACGGCCAATCTTCTCCGCCCTTGACTTCTAGGACTGGCCACGGTCCTCTATAAGCAGGTACTAGCTTTTGCGAGATGTTCTCCTCAGGAGCAAATTCCTTTGACTTGACCCACACTAAGTCGCCGACTTGGAACTGTGAAGGGCGACGGTGTTTCTTGGCTTGTTCTATCATTCTGTGCTGGGCCTTCCTGAGGTTCTCCACTACTGTAGCTATCTCTTTCTCGTGCTGTATCGCAAACTCCCTGGTACCGGGCGGTAACCTTTGGATCTGATTCCGGTTAAGTCCTTCAAACGGCCTGCGTGGTTTAAAGGACTCATGTAGCTCGTTGGGAGTGCGACAAGTGGCTAAGTGCACGCTATTATTGTAGGCACTGGCTACCTTTGGGAGCATCTCACCCAGTCCAGTTGATCGGGCCTAATGTACATCCTTAGAACTTGCTGAAGGATCTTATTCATCTGTTCAGTCTGTCCGTTGTCTCTGGATGATGGCCGTGCCTCAGTTGCCACTGCAAGGGAACTGATCAAGAACAAAGCGAAGCATGAATCACCTCACAAGCACACGACGAGCAACAAATGCCTCTCAATAACCTGGGGCCGCCCAGATCGGTTGATATGTCAAGGCCGTTGCCCAATATTGGGAAACCAAAAGAAAGAAAAAAAAAAAAGAAGGGGAAACTGCAGAAATACCGATTGGGAGAAGTATGTTCATGGAACCTTGTCTCTTTTATTCAGTGGACTCCCATAGGCAGTTCACGCCCCGACATAGTTGTAGAACCGCGCCCCAACACACACACACACACACACACACACACACACACACACACATACACACATGAAAAACAGGAGGACGAAGGGCAGAGAAGTTGGGAAGGGGAGAAGAGATCACCAAACGGAAGCGACAAATGGTAAGTCAGTGAGATAAATGGAAGAGAATGAATAAAGGAATGAAACATACTAATCAACTAATAAAGATATACAGGTGGGGGTGGGGGTTCCAGGGCAGGTAAGTTGGGTTAATACCCCCATCTCTTCCTTCATGACACAAGTTCCTTGCACGTATGTTACACACCAAGAGCTGCATATGGTACAATGGTTATGGGTCGAGAAGCGGCTCCAACAGAGTCTGTAATAACCTGAGTTCGATTGTGCATACATCCCGCGCTCACCTCGGAACTGGCTTCAGATCGATCCCACTACCATGCGTACGAAGAAAAGTCTGTTTTTTTGCAGCAACCAATGTAGAGAGATTTTTTCTCTTTCTTTTCTTTTTCTTTTTTCTCTCTTTTACTTCTCTCCCTTTTTTTCTTTTCTTTTTTCGTTGGTCTTTTTCCGTTATTCCCCTTTTTTATCTGTTTTCTATTTCTGTTTTTCGAGGCGTCGCCCATCAGAGCCGCTGACGGCTCACACGCGATTCACCTGGGGGGACGCTTCGCTCAACTAGGGGTTTGGTCTTTTTCCGTTCTTCCCCTTTTTTTTTCCGTTTTCTATTTCTGTTTTCCGAGGCGACGCCCATCAGAGCCACTGACGGCTCACACGCGATTCACCTGGGGGGACGCTTCGCTCAACTGGGGGTGCCGTTTCATCTACGTGTCCTCTGTTCATGTCCCCTGGCTGTATTGATTTTTTTCCCTATTTTTTTAGTTTTCGTTTTAGGAGCATGTTTTCCCGCCTCGTGAAACCGCGATAGCAATACTGCCCACATGCAGTATCCTTCGGAAAATGACGATGGCGGGGCACTATTTGAACTACAGGAGTATCCCTCGGACTCCCATCATTTTTTTCGGTGCGCACGCTTTCCGTTCGGCCATTTTTCAAATAGCGAGCCGGACGGTGGCATGTATTCAAGTTGTCAGAAGCTCAGGTGGACGGTGATAGCGTCATCTCCAGAGACGTTGGTGCCACGGTGCTGCTTTCGCCATGGACTACCAGGTGGATCAGGTGCTGCTTAATCAAATGATCCATGATGAAGAGGACATGGTATAAGCTCCTGCGCCCTCCTCTCCCGAGCGTTCACAGATTGTTTGTTGTATATGATGTGCTCCGCATGCGCCACGCGACTTCACGCATGACTTTTCTTTGCGCGATCCTCGCACGCTGCGCTTACACGCTGAGCGGGTGATGATGTGGGTTTTCTTTCCATTCGAGCTTCTGCGCTCGGTTGCATGCAAGTTGATAGAGCTAGGCTTGATGGCGCTAAATAGGGAGGAGGTGGACAAGAAGATGGGGGTTGCCATTGAGGTCTCGGCATATGTTCTGGTCGCTTTCATTGCCTTGCTATCATTTCTTCTTTTCTCGCTTTTTTGCATCACCTGCAGGCACTGCCACTGCCTTCATCACTCCGACTTCCGAAACATGTGTGACATAGAAGCAGGTGTTCCCTCTGATGAAGCCATGTGTACCAGTGGCTAACGGCAGAGAAGCGCTTCAGGGATAGCCACTACCCTCCCTGCTTTGGCTGTCGTGGCAAGTTTCCCATACTACGTGGAACTGCCTCTGGGCATGCAGCCGGTCTGTTCATGTTCCTATTTGTGCAAATCTTCGCGTCGCGTTTTTGTGCTGCGTGTGAAGAAAGGAAGGAGAAGTGACACTTCGGCTTTATGGCTATATGAGAGGCCGTTCTTTGTCGGAAGGAGGACTTGTTTTGTGTAATCGACACGTGTGTTGCTTTGAGTAATGTTTTTGAAGTGGATTTCCTTTGCTTTCACCCACTCGTCTCATGAATAGTATAGGCAGTGTGGAGAATGGTTTTACAGATGGATGATGGAGCTATTGTATTGCACTAAAAAAAAAAAAAATGCACGGAGTATCGCCTATATGATTGTACCTGTATCAATAAATA